CGTCGAGTCGCGTACAGACAGGGCGCATTGTTTAAGCATAGCCGATTAAGCACAGTTGTCGATCGATTCATCCCTAATGATTCGATTCAACGTGCCAAATTTTCGCAAACGCGTGTAACGTACGCGAAATTTTACAAAATACAAAAGAAAATTAAGCGCTAAAATTACTCATCATTATTTTGTGAAGTTGTTTTTTCCTTTTAAAAATACTATATTTGTTTCGGAAAAAGTCTCGACACTTTTCTGTGTCATCAGTCAGTTTTTGTCAATTTATTGTGGCAACTGATTGCGACAAATTGTTAAATAAATTAATTATCGATCTCTCCAAGACGTTTACCTTCATTCATAAAACTTTGTTTTACAAAACTCGCGCAAAAGTAACGATCCTCTGATATTGCGAGCGAGTCTATAATTATTTCTCGATGTTATAGGAACTATATTGTGTGCGAAACTGTATTGTAAAAGCGTTCTGGTAATGAGGTAATGTGATTCTCTGATATTAATTATCCCGCTTACACTTAGTAATTTCGTTTTGCCTTATTTACGAAACCTCGCCATTATCGAAACATATCGGCGAGGCTATAAACGGTTAAATTTTCGTTCTCGCGAATAAAGATGCAATTGCGCATTCAATACGCAAAACTCGTAGCTCAAAACAAAAATCAGGAACACCCTCGCGTCACGACATAAATTTCCGGTCCAGTTAATTTGAACTTGTGTATTCGTTATTTTCTCTTTTGATTATGAAACATGGAGCCTGCGCTCTCACAGAACGTAAAAAAACTCGGCCAACCATTTAACAGTCGCGTGTAACATGAAAAACTTGCAGGTGATAAAATACGCGAACCGTATATATAAATATAAAAAAAACGTCGTCGTGAAATTCTTGCGAACACTGTTGTATGTTCGCGACTATGTGCGTACGTAGATATATGCAAAGTGATCTAACAAATAATTAACATTGACAATCGCAACGTGTATTTAAAAATAATTGTTCTCGTTTGTTTCTGCGGTAAGTCGAGAAAAAAAAGGTTTTTTTCTCGAGTAATTACGAGCAAACAAATATTATAGAAAATAGACATCTAATTCATTTGTTAATTAAATATTCAGATTATTAATCTCAAAAAATTACACGCACATTACGTAAAATTGTAGAAATAAATTTAATAAATTTGTATTAATTTTTTTCGCAAACGTATATTAAGAAATAAAATATCAAAAATAAAAAATATTTTAATATTTATCAATACTGACATTTATACATATACATGTTTATTTATTTATCGTTAGAACGATTTCAGTTTCAAAACCAAAAGGGAAATAAAATTGAATTTACGAATTGAATGACCGATATGTGTAAAAAATGTGCAAATAAATATAATTATCGCGGCTTTTCCTGTGTACGTCACGATAAATGCGTTTTATCGATCGAAACGTGCATGCATTATCGATATTTTGTAACCGAATGTACACAAAACCGCGACAAATTATATCTGCGGAACATACACGAGAAAGAAAATAATTCTTTATTGTTTGATAAATTTAATGCATGGCCACGAACACTCTCTTTTTTTCTTTCTCCAAAAAAAAAACACTATACAAAGAGAGAGATCTCGGTTTTCTGTTATAATATTAAACTTTGCTTTTACGAAACAACGACGTCGAAGAGAGAGAGAGAGAGAGAGAGAGAGAGAGAGAGAGAGAGAGAGAGAG